AGGTTTAGTCCATGGCAGGAACCATGGCAGCCTGGAGGCAGACACAGTGCTGGAGGAGCTCTACATTTTGATCTAAATAGAGGCAGCCAGGAGGAGACGACTTCCACTTTGGGTGGAGTGTGAGCATATATGATCTCAAAGCCCTGCCTCCACAGTGACACACTTCCGTTAACAAGGCCACACCTCCTAATAGTGCTGCTCCCCATGGTCATGGAGTCAAACACATAAATCTTTGGGAGTCATACCTATTCAAACCACCACAGCAGCTAAGAACTTCCTTTTAAAATGAATATCAGGACCAGAAGCCATTTTTAAATATGGAAAACGTAAAGCATAGTAGAGGACTCTTACAGGACACTTATTAGTGGCAGTGGATTGGTGTTGAAATAGAAAAGGCTTTTAGCTTGCCATAAAAGTAATTGTATTTTTGGGTTTTTGTAATTTGCCGTTTGATAATAGAGTAATCCATGCTTAATAAACATGGATATGTTGTATTCATTTCAGTGTGTCTGCCTTCTCCCTCTTTTTTTTTTTTTTTGAGACATGTCTATTTGTAGCCTTGTCTGGCTTGGAACTCACTATGTAAACCAGGCTGATTTGACCTTGAACTCTCACAGGTATCAACCTGCTACCTCCAGAGAAGGGATCAAAGGCATGTGCCACCACACGTTGCTTTAATCTCTTACTAGTGACTTGTTAAATGCTATTTACTTTATTATTTTATACTATGGTGATGTTGTTAGGCAAAAAGCAAATCCTAGTGACTTTTTTTTTTTATCTGAGTTCAAAATGGTTATAGAGCAGCAACAGCTTGCAGTGTCAAGGCATCTGGCCTGAGAACCACTAGTGAAAGCAGTGATAGCCCAAGAAGTTGTGCAAAAGAGACAGAGCCTTGAAGACATGAAAAGTGGGTTGTATATGAATGATAGCCACTGAGGACACAGAGAAGATACTCCATTGCACTTCCCAGAGCCAAACTTGCACCAAAAATATCCTGGTCGCTGTTTGGTGTCTGGGCTTCTTACCATCAGCAGGGTGCAGATGATGTTCCCCAAGAGTCCATTAAATTCTGAAGCAGGGACTAAAAAAATATTTGGTAATTTTTGTATGTATGTGGCTTGTGCATGTTATACACGCGGAGGTCAGAGGACAGGCTGGCTCTCTCCTACCAGATGGGTCCCAGAGATCCAGCTCAGCCCTCAGACTTGATGGCAAGTAACTTAATATGCTGAGCCATCTTGCCAGCCGATCAGAACATGCTTTCATATGCTACAGTGCGGGAGGGCAGCTTTGACACTGTGTGGCCTACATTGAGGTGGGAGATAGGTGGGCAGCTGGCTGATGACCCAGCAGACTTCTCTGAGGGTAAAAGACTTAACTCTCCAGGCTGGAACTGACTGTTAACCACATCAGCTTCCACTGCTAGTGGTAAGTGAGGGGCCAGAGCTAATGGCTCTTTGTGGGGGAGGGGGCGCTTCCACTGATGGTAGAAAGTGGAGGGCAGGGCTGATGGCTCCTGGTGTGGGCTTCCACTGATTGTGGCAAGTACCCAAAAAGGAAAGGAAAGGAGGAGAGAAAAAAGACCGACTGCGCACACACACACACTCTCTCACACATTGGGTGGATGGAAAAAGATTCCAACCTCCCTTGTGGATGGAAAAGGATTTAACAATTTTTTTTTCAACAACTTCATTTTTTCTTCCACAGCTCATATATCCCATTAAGATCTTTCAAGAAGTACAAGAATTACAATGTGGTTGCACTCTATTTTTCTTTAAGCAAATGATCATAAAAACAAAAAGTTTTCCCAACATCCTTAGTGAAAAACATTTTATATATTACAGGTGGATAAAACATTTCCAGGAACCCACATACATCTGTAACTAAGCAGTTTGTTATAGGTTAACAAAGTGTGAGCAAGCAAGGTAACTAACTTCTCAGCCAGTTTTTTCTTTACCAGCAGACTGCAATTTGCAGTTACAAAGAAAGAATCAGTTATCTTAAACAGTAATCTTATAAACATCTTAAAAGAATCAAAAATCTAAACTTTGATATGAAAAACAACCAGCCATTTCTACTTTAAATCTTTAAGGTGCGCATCTACTCACTAATAGTTTTTATTAAATACTATCAGGAAGCTGAGGACAGAAGTAGGTAGAAGGGAATGAATTGTTATCGCAATCATCCAGCCCTGCTTGAGCACTGGTCAGCCAGTGCTACTCTGGGCTATTGTTCTTGCTCAAGAAGTCCCTGCTTTATCCTTAAGAGAGTATTTTCCTGAACTTCAAACCGTTTTCTTAAGAATTTCTATATCTGAGCCATTAGCAAAGACATTTTTACCTAACCTTGCTAAACAATCTGTTTTTCTAAATTCTTTCTAAGGGTAGTGGTCATTGCTAGCAATCTACATCTGCAGGTTCTTTTCAGGGGTGGTGGCTGAATCATTTTGGTCCTTAGAGTTATCATACAGCTCACATATTAGGAAGATTTAACGGCTGCAAGGATACCAAGCAGAGCTATTCTCCATAACAGCATGAAGTCCTCAGGACAGCATCAAGTCCTCAGCTCAGGGCCCTGCCTCTCCGAGGCCCACCCATTGTGGTTATGCTAACTGGTGGGCTGAATTCCATGAGTTCTAGGTCCGTTTGCTGTTCCTCCTGCACAGCCCCCAATACTAATTTGAAAAAAACCAAATCAGTTGATTGTAATGGTCTCTGTTTTGATTATTAAATATATGTTTGGGCCTAGTCATAATAATTTTGAGTCCGCTGGTCCAAATATGTATGGGTTGTGCATGTGTATGTGTACATGAGTGTGTTGTGGCATGCATATTTATTTATGTAAATGTGCATGCATGTGTATGAGTTGTGTATGTGTACATGAGTGTGCTATAGCATGTTTATATGTGTGTGTGCTCACATGTGCATGTATGTGTATGGCATGTGGGTGTGTGTATGCGCACGTGTGTGTGCTGTGGCATGCATATGGAGGTCAGAGTTTAATTTGTGGTAGTGAGCTCTCTTCCTTGTCCTGGGGATCAGACTCAAATTGTCAGCTTTACCTTCTGGCCCTTGCACTTCCTTTTATACCAGCCTAATAGAAGGAGGGAAGGAGAGGGCTGAGATTGAGTGAGAATGTTTTGCTGTGTTGAGTGTGAGGGGGCTGTATGGCAGTCAGAGACTGCAGGAGGAAGTGGGATTAGAGGATTGGCATGGATAACTATTGGGAACGTCAGTGTGAGTGGTGACTGAAGAAGACACACAGGTGCACAGAATATGTGCAGTGGGGAGGGTGGGTGGAGGAACAGAGGATGACATGTCCCTATGTGAGCAGTATTTTAAGCGGTAATGGATTAGAAAGATGGTGACATGTCACAGAAGCCATGGGAAGTTGGAATTTGAAAAAGTAGGGTAATCCCAGGGGCTAGGTTGAGATGAGCATTTAAGGAAGCTGAGGACTGGGGCCTGGGAAGAGAGTTAGGTTGGTAAAGGAAGCCCTGAAAGCATGTTCAGCACCTTGAAGGAAGCTGGGTACTATGACACACTTGGGGAGCTGGTGGCAAGTGGATCCCTAGAGCTACTTGGCCAGCTAGTCTAGCACAACCACTGAGTTCTAGATCCAGTGAGAGACCTTGTCTCAGTTTGGATAGTTACTGAGGAAAATGGAGGATACCTGGCATTGACCTCTGACCTTTATATGTGCACTGCACACACACACACACACACACACACACACACACACACACGATGGGCATATGAATCTGTGTGTATTCTCATCAGTAAGAATACAGCACAGACACTTTGAGCACACACTCCCCCCACTAAATAAGAAAAAAAAAATGTAACCTTCTTAGTTTAAATTTTTAATAAAAAAGGTCATTTTTGCTTTTGGGCATGGTGGCATACACCTTTGTAGTTATAAAGAATGAAAATCCCAATCTTTCAATTTTACCAAGAAAGACTCAGAAGCCAAATGCTGGGTTGAAAACTTGCTAGCTTAGAGAGGCAGAGAAAGTACCCAGCTGACCTTCTTACTCCACTGATATCTCAGAAGGAAAAAGCCTCATCTCCTCCAAACTGTCTTAAATACCCTTCAGCTCAATGTCCCCCCCCTTCCTGTGTTTTCTTATATCAACTGGTTGCTTGCTCAGCCTCTTGACCCAGGGTTGACTTTATTTAGCCCTTCTTTACAGAAGTCTCTTGGATTAAAGGTGTGTGCTAGGGGTGAGCCACACAGCAACTAGAAACAGATTTTTCCAGTACATAATCTTGGGGTTCACAGTGTGACCAAATCTTCAACACACCTTTAATCCCAGCAGTACCCAGGAGTCAGAGGCAGGAGGACCTCTGTCAAGGCCAGTCTGATCTACAGAGCTAGTTCTAGGACAACCAAACCTACACAAAGGAATCTTATCTTGAAAAAAATTAATCATCCTTGCTTATAAGTCCTGGGGGTGTCTTTAGGGTTCAGACAGAACTTTTGAAGAAAGCTCTTTGTGTTAATCAGGTTCTCTATAGGAAAAGAACTGATAGAATGAATCTATATGTATATAGAAAGAGGGATTTAGTAGGGTGGGTTACAGTCTGTGGTCCAGTTAGTTCATCAACGGCTGTTCACTAAAGGATAAAGTCCAAGAATCCAGTAGTTGTTTGGTGTATGAGGCTGGATGTCTCAGCTGGTCTTCAGTGTACATAGGACTGTGTACAGGTGTTTTGCCTGTGTATGTTCCTGTGTACCCAGATGCCTGGTGTCTGGAGGCCAGAAGTGGGTTGGAACCCCTGGAACTGTAGTTACAGATGATTGTGACTTGCCATGTGTATACTGGGAATCAAATCTGAGTCCTCAGGAACAGCAGCCAGTACTGTTTTTCTCTAGCCTGGTCTTGGCTTTCTTAAATCTCCAGTGCTCAGCACATTTGTGGACATGTTCATACCATTGAAAAAGCTGACATTGTGTTTTTATTTGTGTGATTTCAAAATGAACTTGGTTTTTCTCTCTAGTGTCTCAATGAAATCCTGGAGTCAGCTGACGCACCTCTAGAAGTCACTGAAGGATTCATTCAGTCAATTTCCCTGTCAGTTCCATGGGGCTCCTTGCTGCAGGATAATTGCGCACTGGAAGTGAGAGGGCTGGAGATGGTCTTCCGGCCTAGACCTCGTGTAGGTAGGTGTGTTTCAACCTTGACCCTGTGAAGGCTGGGAAGTCAACCCAATTGTAAGAAATTGAGCATTGAATTTATGACTTTGAACTGGATTTGGGAGATTTTTCATTTGCTAAAATATGATGGTTTATCATTGTGTAGGATGTATGTGAGTATACATTTAGAATGGTTTTCCTCCTTAGTCATGCTCCAGAATACTAATGTATAGATAATATGTGGTTATTTCCAGTTATCTGAAAGTGACTTCTATTTTAAAGATTCAAAATACCGTGTTCCCAAATAAGGAAGACTGTTCAAATATTTATGGAGAAATGTTGGAAGGGCATAAGATTAGATTTTTTAAAAAAAGTTAAAATTAAAAATTTTGTTATTTTAAATTATGTGTATGTAGTGAGGGGGCTTGGGTATGTATGCACATGACCTCTGTAGAGATAAGAAGCATCAGATCCCCCTGGAACTAGAGTTACAAGCAGTGTGAACTGCCTGATGTTGGTGCTGGGAACGGAACCCAGGTCCTCTGTAAGAGTTGTGTAGGCTCATATCTCTCCAGCCTCCAGGACTGGATTTGAAGGGACTTTGGCTGGTGAAATCTGAAACAACTGTAGTGTTGAAGAATAATGGCAGTGATTATAACACCATGTTTAAAACTCACCACATCCATGTTGATAATAGTTATTTATGTAAGGTGGGCTTGGGTAGGGGATGCAGTTCTCAATTGTAGAATGTAACACAGAGAAATGGACAGAAATGGTCAGTCTACGTAAATGCTGTGTTCAGTAATTTATAAATTATAATCCAAAGTATTTTCTGAAAAACAAAAGTTTAAATGATCTCATAGAACTATAGTGATCTGTCTTCAAAATAGAAATGCTTCTACATAAAATGATGTATTTATTTTGAGACAGTTTAACAGTATAGTCAGGCTGACCTTGAACTTGCTCTGTAGCTCAAGCTGGTCCTGAACCCATTATCTTCCTGCCTTAGCTTCTTGAGTGTTGGAATTGTACCATTATTCCACCACACCTAGAAATAAATAATCTGATATTTAGTTGTGTGTGCGTATGAATGTTGAAGCCAGAGGATATCCTCTGGTCTTATTCCTTAGACTCTATTTACCTTATGTTTTTGAGACAGGGTCTGATATTAGTCTGGACTCAAGTAGGCAAGCCTGGCTGGCTAGTGAGTCCCAGAGATGTGCTTGTCCTTGTTCTTGGTGCTAGGATCTCCATATTAGACTTCCTTTGTGCTCAGACTTAGGCTTGAACTCAGGTCCTCATGCTTGTGCAGCAAGAACTTTATGGACTGAACTATCATCCCAGCTCCCCTGATAATTTAGTTTATAAGCACGTTGTATCTAGCCAGATGTGGTACCACAAATCTGTGATTCCCGCTCTCAGGAGGCTGGGACAGGATGATTGTAAGGTTGAAGCCAGTCTGAGTACATAGTGATCTCAAACAAAACAAAACCCTCCAAACAAAAACAACAAAAATGGTTTGATTTTTTTTTTTCTTTTATCATCATCATCATCATCATTATTATTATTTTTTGAGTCAGGATTTCACTATATAGCTCTGGCTGTCCTGGAACTCACAATGTAGACCAGGCTGGCCCTGTACTCAAAGAGATCCTTCTGCCTGCACCTTCTCCTCCCATAGTTCTGGGATTAAGGAGTGTGCTATGAGTCCTGACTCTGATTCTATCTTTTAACCATGGTGGGCAACATCTCCCTTTGGTAAGCTGAGCTTTGAAATACTTTCCCCTTTAAGCCAGCCCATTAAAAAGGCCCTTCCATTTTGGAAGGCAGTAATTGTAGTAATGTGTCTGTTTTGAGCAATGTAAGGAGGTACGGATTTCCTCAGCAGGAAAGATCTGGGAAGGGTTCTTAGGGTTTGTGTGTTCAGTCCTCCAAGGACACTCTTTGATTTCATGTGCATTTATACTAATTCTGTAGCTGGTGTCTGCTCCTTCTGCTGGATTCCCTCTTACTTCCTGCAGATGGAAGAATAAGCTTTTTTCCTTTGTCTTTGTGTTTCTTGGTGACATCTTTGTGTTCAATCTTTTTTACAAATTTTTATTTATTTATTGTTTATACAGTATTCTGCCTGCATATACAGCTGCACGCCAGAAGAGGGCACCAGATCTCATTTTAGATGGTTATGGAACCACCGTGTGGTTGCTGGGAATTGCACTCAGGACCTTTGGAAAGAACAACCAGTGCTCTAGTGCTCTTAATCTCTGAGCCATCTCTCCAGACTCCTTTGTATTCATTCTTGTCAGTCATCTCTTATCTCTCCAAATACATGATAAACTATCTTAAATGCAAAGCTTATAATTTATTTTTCAATCTAGTTGGTTAGCAAACCTCAGTTTGCAGTCCATATTAGTCTGCCACTTGTTTTCATTAAGTGGAATCTTTTTGAAACATTCCTGTGCTGTTCAGTTACTTTCTGTAGCTGCTTTTGCCTCTAAGAGCCGGGCAAGTGTGACAGAGCACATTGCTCAGAGAAGCCTAAACATCTGCTGCCTGACCCTTTACAGAGGATGTTTGCTGGCTCTTGCTCAGTGGTCAGCATGGTGCCATGTAAATACACCTGTTAGGCTTTTGTTGAATGAATATCTGAATTAAAAGTTGATAAAAATGGGCTGGGCGGTGGTGGTACATGCCTGTAATCTCAGCACTTGGGAGGCAGAGGCAGGTGATCTCTGTGAGTTAGAGGCCAGCCTGCTCTACAGAGTGAGTCCCAGGACACCCAGGGCTACACAGAAACCCTGTCTCCAGAAACAAACAACACATAAGAAAGAAAGAAGAAAGGGAATAAAGAAAGGACATTGATGGAACTCTGAGAAATTATTTAGGTTTGTTTGTCCTTTCTGCAGCAACTGGGTCTGAGCCTATGTACTGGTCAAGCTTCATGACCAGCAGTATGCAGTTGGCAAAGGAGTGTCTCAGCCAGAAGCTGACAGATGAGCAAGGAGAAGCCTCCCAGCCTTTTGAAGGACTGGAGAAGTTTGCAGAAACCATTGAAACAGGTTTGCATCCTCAGCATCTTCACAGGCCAGGCTTTATGTGGTGGTCTGGGGCCTAAGACCATTCTGTTGCAATTATTTTGAAAGAATTGCTGTTCTCTCTTCAGTACTTCAGAACGTGTTTTAAATGTTCCATTTAGTTTGATTGCATGCTTTTGTTCCTGGGGTTCTCCTTGTTTACTTTATTGCACCTGTGGGAGGATCAGGCTAGAGAGCAGTGTTGCCCCAAGAGTCTATTGTGATGTAACTTGGAGACTTGCTTATGGGGGACAGTGTGTTTTACAAAATACAGGTTCTGGGGATTTAAAAGGAAAGAAATCTGCCTTTTTAATTTTTTTCTCAGAATAGCATTTATTTCTTTCCTAAGAGGGGTTGGGGAAGCAGCAATGATAAGCAGTTATCCAGCATGATCAAGGCCCAGCAGCTTGCAAGGCAGGAAGGGGTGGAGGAGGAGTGGGACCTCTTACCTGGTTTTCCATTGATGGTTGCTTGTTTGCTCTAGTACTAAGAAGAGTGAAAGTCACTTTTATAGATACTGTTTTAAGAATTGAACATGTGCCAGAAAATTCCAAATCTGGAGCTGCACTTGAAATCCGAGTAGAGAGGTAAGATTTTATGTCTGAAAACTCATGACCTCATTCTGACTCTGACTTTACCCTTCAGGACACTTCTGGAGGCTAGAGGCGATACTAAATTAATATATTGTGTAATTTCAGAGTAAAGTACTGCTCTCTGAGTTATCCTCTCGTCTCATTATGGAAACTATAAACGCTGGTTAGGGTATAATTCTATCCAGCACTCTGCTGAGCTTGCCTAAGCAGTTTTCTTAGTTAGTGTGAGTGCCGCCATGTTGAGGTTCTTTTACAGAGTGTCTGCTTCCTACATATGTGCAGGTAATGTGAAAGACTTGATTTTGTGGTGCTTGGCATGGGTACCGCTTTAGTGAAAAAGGAAGATGGTGCTTTTTCTTTTGAAGATTTTTGTGAAGGATTATTTTAAGGTTAAATATCCAATCATGATTTACTTAAGTTAAACATATTACCTTTATGTCTTATGTGTATTCACTGCAGTTCTGAGATAGTGTTGATGTGTGGTAGTAACTGCTCCTCTTTGGCTGTGTTCTATGGCCTCCCCACAGAGATGTACATTGAGGGGCACAAGGAGACATGGCTCAGTGGCTAAGAGCATTTCCTGCTCTTCCAGAGGTCCTGAGTTCGGTTCCCAGCACTCATGTAGAGCAGCTCACAGTGGCCTGTGACTCCAGCTCCAGGGATCCAGTGCTGCCTTCTGTCCTCAGTGGACACCTGAACATATCTGACACACCCTCACACAGATGCACACGCTGATGCACATAAATGAAAAACAAAAGTACATCGACTATCAAAAAGCCCTTTGTGTGCATCTATTTGAACAGATTGTTTTTGTGGTTTCAGTCTTTAACAAAGATACAAGGAAAATACCTATGAGGAAAATAGCTACTGTTCCAGATCTTTAGACTACATTAGTTTAGGTGGTATAATAACACAGTGACACCCAGTGAGAACCATGTTATTTATCTCATCAAATTGGAGATTGTTAACACAAGAATTCAGGACAAAGTCACTGTTCATTCTTTGTTCTGATGTGGAGACATAGGGGTCTCACTTATGAGAGGCTATGCTTGTAATCCTGGCTGGGAGGATGAGGTCAGAGGGTTCTGGGAGTTAGACACAGTCTAGGCTACATAGCAGCACTCAGCTTTGTGAGGGAGATGGGGATTGTTCCCTTGGGTTAACTTTAAGAAGTTACTAATTTTTTCCCTGAAATTTAAGAGTCCTATAAAAATATCTTTCTTAGATTTTAGGTCTCTCCCTTTGTGAAAAATTTACTTATTTAAATATTTAGTGCAGAGATGCAGGCATATGCTATAGATTTTAAAATGTTTTTATGTTAACTATAATAGTTATATTTTTATACATGCACAAAATGTGTTTTAGCACACACACAGCTATTCTCTTTTGTCTTTTTTCTGCTCCCTCTAATTCTGTTTTTCTTCCCAACTAAAAATAATTATTTTAGCAAGGTGTGGTGTTACAGTGGTGCATGCCTGTAATCCTAGCACTTGGGAGGCAGAGGCAGAGTGATCTCTGAGTTCAAGGCCAACTCTGTCTCAAAACCACACCAAACCAAGCAAGCAAGCAAGCAAGCAACCAACTAACCAACCAAAAATCTACCCCCCCACCCCCCGGTTCCTGTGTAACAGCCTTGACTGTCTGTCCTGGAGCTCACTCTGTAGACCAGGATGGTCTCAAATTCACAGAGATCCACCTACCTCTGCTAGGATTAAAGACATGTGCCAACACCCTGGCAAAACACTTTTTTGAGACAGTTTTATGTAGCTCAGGCTGCCCTTGAACTCTGCTCACCCTGCCTCTACCTCCCTGTCCTGGGCTGTAAGCATTATTGTCGGCGCAGTCTTAAGAACAATTGTTGCAGGTACATTTCCCAGGAGTTCTGTACAAATGCCCTTTTGTTGTACCTTTCAGAACCGTGTACTGTGATGAAACTGCTGATGAGTCCTCAGGAGTGAACGTGCATCAGCCTACAGCTTTTGCTCACAAACTGCTGCAACTCTCTGGAGTGTCTCTCTTCTGGGATGAATTTTCTGCTTCAGCAAAATCTTCCCCAGTGTGTTCAACTGCACCAGTGGTAAGAAAAATGAAACACAATTCCCAAGATGGGTGGGGTGTGTGGCTTAGCTGGTAGAGTCAGGAGTCAGGTTCAACGGTATCCTCAGATAGTGAGTTCAGGGCCAGCCTGGTACAGACGTGAGACCCTGTCTCAGAAAAGCAAACCAAAATATGACCCAGAAAAACATGGGCATGGTATTTAGAAGTAAGGCTGTCAGCCAAGTGTGGGAATGCGTACTTATAATCTCAACATTTGAGAGGTTGAGACAGGAGGCTTTCAAATTTGAGGGCAGCCTGGGCTACTAGTGAGTCTCTGTCTAGGCAAAACCAAACCAACCAAACACACACAAAACAAAACAAAAAAAACCCCAATAAACAAACTGGGGACTGTTAAGTTTTCCTGAATATAGTGTCCACTAATAAGTCTCCATCTGGTTTAGAAAATCTGGCTAATACAGATATTCAGCTAATATATTTGAGACCAGCCTTGAACCCCCAAAGCTCTGCTGCCTTGCCTGTCTGCTGTCATTAGTTAATGGAGAAAGGTTTCATATAAAGCTCTAGGTAACATCTGATAGCTGAGAGAGCTAATCTTAGTTGTCAGCTTGAATCTATGTGGAAACCAGCCTCTGGGCATGCCTGTGAGGAGTCTCTAGATTAGATGGACAGGCCCTCCCTAAATGAGATGATGTCCTTCGAGGGGCTGGGTCTCAGGCCAGGTAAAAAGGAGAAAGTGAGCTGCGCTCAAGCATGGTGCATGCTTTCTGTCTGTTGGTGTGATGTAAACAGCTGGCCTCTGCTCCCTTGCCTTCCTCACTGTGGTGGATTGTGTGCCTGGGAGCTAGAAGAAATGCTCCCTTCCTGAAGTTGCTTCTTGTAGGGCATTTTGTCACAGCAACTAGGAAAACGCTCATGCAGTGTCTTGTCCTCTCATACTAAGAAACAGCATTACTGTCCATGACAAATGCCTATATTAGTGAGCATTATTGCAGGAGCCATACCTTAAGTGTTTTCTGTTACTAGGAGTTCTTAATTCTTCATCAGGCATAGCATCCATTTATAAGTTGATAATTCTGTAATTTGCCTTTTGTATCACAAATCAGTTTTTTCATTGATTGGTATAGAGTCGCTCACTTTGTCACTGTGTGGCTCATGTTGGCCTCAGACTAGTGATCTCCTATGTCAGTCTCCTGAATGCTGGGATTACAGGTTTTATTTCCACATTGGTTTGGTTTTCTTACCTATACATTGTGTATTATTTGAACAGATATTTTGCATGTGAGTGTGTATGCACACACAAACTTGTATTGTACTGTATTTGGGGGCATGTTTGTGGAGGAGAGGACAACTTTGTTAGTCGGTTCTCCCATTTTGTGTGCGTTGTGGGATTGGGCTCAGGTCTCCCAGGTTTGGACAAGTGCTTTTACTCACTGGTCATATTGCAGGCTGTGTGCAATTTTCGTAAGGCCTTTCTCCATGATTTTTTCCTAAGGTGCTCCACTCACATAGTACTGCTTCATTTTAGCTAGAAGACACTGGTATGTCCAGTGCAGTGGTGCAGCTTTGCGTGCCGAATGCTATATTCTCTTCTGCTGTTTGTTTGTTTGTTTGTTTGTTTTTCAAGACAGGGTTTTGCTGTGTAGCCCTGGCTGTCCCGGAACTTGCTGTAGTAGTAGTCCAGGCTAGCCTTGACCTCACAGAGATCCGACTGACTCTGCCTCCTGAGTGCTGGGATTAAAGGTGTGTGCCACCACTGCAAGGCTAAATACTTTATTCTCAAGATTACATTTATATCTCACACACACCCTGACTTACTTATGCTAAAATATTTTAAATAGATACTTTATTTTTATTTTATTATAGGAAACTGAGCCAAAGCTGTCACCTAGCTGGAACCCCAAAATTGTTTATGAGCCACACCCACAACTAACTAGAACTTTACCAGAGATAGCACCGTCGGATCCAGTGCAGATTGGAAGGCTGGTGGGCAGGCTGGAGTTGAATCTCACTCTGAAACAGAACGAAGTGCTTCCAGGAGCCAAGGTCAGTGCTGTTGTGTGTTCTCTACCACACTACAGGTGTTTAGTCTATACAGTGTCATGGTGGTTGGTTGCTGTGGGCCGTCCTGTGATAAAGCGTCTTCTGTCTTCAGTCTCACTGTTCTGGCCCAGATTTTTCTGCCTTTCCTTTTATGAACTCCTGCCGGGTTAAGCAGTTTTATCAGGTCTTCCCTGGCTGGCTGCTAAGGAGGCTGTTGGTGGAGCAGGTGGTGTACGCAGCCGCAAGTGCTGCGGGGCCGTCCCTGCTGTGGCCACATCCGTGGAAAACCAGCGCATGTGTGGCTTTGGGGAGCACATGGACCATTTCTTAAAGAAAGTTCCGCGGTTTGGCTAGGTACAGTCCTTTACATTTCTGAGCTTTGATTTTTATGCAGATGTGAAGTTTTGTACAGCATCTTTTGACTTGTCTAACCATTCCCTATGTTGCTGTTAGAGTTCTGCATATTAACGGACAGAGGAACTTGTGGTAGTTTGGTGTGGTGGACTGTGTTCCAGTTCCAGCCAGTGCTGAATATTTAGAGATACTATTATTCTTGCCTGTACATTATCATTTTTATCATAATAACTTGAGTTTTGTGTATATTTTGTTTAATGTAAATGAATATCATATGGAAGAATTAAGTTCTGGAGATCAGTACTGGGCAGCATAGAGCTTAGAAATGGTAACTCAGAATAGACGTAATGGGGGTTAGATCTTTAGTGTCTTCCAGTGTTCCTTAAACCTGAGTCTTTTAGCAGTGAGTTCAAATGTTATGCAAGATTGCGCGCTCTGTTTTCGAGATAGCACCTCTGGAGTCTATTGTATATCACATATTCAATTTTAGTGGATGTTTGGGGAAAGTATTGATAGGAAAGCAGGGGACCTCCTTGGTTGAATTTAGAGAATTTTCTGTTTCCAAATTACACTGAGTTGAAAAATGCTTAGCTGTTATTTTCAGCATTTTATATTTTCAAAAGAAAGCAGTGAGTACTACAACAATAATGAAATATTCCTATGACAATTAGAAATGAAACTCCTGATTTTCCATCCTAATAATAACCAGAGATTGTGGTTTCAGGAATCTGGAAACAAATTTGTCCAGTAACAAACACATTTCAGCACTCTGCCCAGCCTTAGTTAAGGATGTGGGCCAGGTGTCAGCAGTCTGTAGGGAACCTTGTAAAACAGTCTGTAGGCACACCAGGGGAGCCATGTCATGCAAGGAGTAGGGGCTTTCCTTTGTGTCTGCCTAGGTTCTAGTCTGGCTGAGGAGCTCCATGGGACTTGCTTTGTGGATCTGTTTTCTTGTCTGTAATACAGAAACAGTGATAACTAGTGGGTAGGACCTGGGTGATGGCTCGGTGCTTACCACACAATGTGAAACAGAAGTGATGGGAAAGTCTGCACACAGGACACAAAGGGAAGCACCCGTCAGCACTGCTTTCTGCCTGGGTTTCAGCTGTGGCTTCCAGCCTGTGTGCAGGGAAGGCAAGCCTGTGAAGCCCAGGAGGCACCGAAGAGCCTGTGAGAGGAGGCACAGCCGGGCTTCCAGACTTGGACTTAATGGTTCTGAGGATTGGTTGTTTTGAGGGACTACTGTGTTGTTGCTGTGTTCGGTGGTCTCCAGAAGATGTACAGGCAGAGGATATGATGCTAGACTTGCTGACATGGAATTTGTCAGGGATTTCCCACCTGCAAAGACAGTTATTGATCTTTATGCCCTTTTGTTGAGATTGTGTGAATTAATAGAGAATTAGGTGAAGCTGCCCAAGACCAAGGGTGATACTTAAGTCACCGCTTTAACATCTAACTATTCCTGACGATGAGCTTGCATTATATTTATTCTCAACTGTTCTTTTGCTTTTAAGTTGGATGTTGATGGACAGATAGACTCCATTCATCTATTCCTGTCACCAAGGCAGGTACACCTGCTTTTGGATATGTTAGCAGCTATTGCTGGACCAGGCAAGTATGACTTGTGATTATTTTCTATAATTTTTGAAACTCTAGGTGAAAATATATAACATAGATAGATGAAAATGTGTTATTTTGGAGTATGTGACATTAAAGGTATATTGTGAGTAGATAGCCTAATTTCTTTATTGGATCAGTTCTTCTAAATTGTGTTATCATGGTATAAATTTGCATTCAGATTGTTTGTGTCACATTCATTTTAAAAATTGTTCTGACCTGTATTTTTGGTTGGAGACCAAAGTATTTGGTATTTCATATATTTCATATAACAACAACAAAAAACACAACAAAACAAAAACCCATGTAATTTGTGTACAGGGTGAGTCATGCAGCGCCTTATTTTTAAGTACCCATACCTTTCAGAATTAAGAGTTTAGATTCTTGGCTACTTGCTTAAAACTGTTGCTTAGACCTTTGATTGATACCACAGTGGTTTTCTGCTAGTGTGGTCAAGTTGCCTTTGGAATTAGATAAATGGGGTTTGGAAAGAAATGCTTAAATAACTAAAAATTAATTTTGCTTTCCTTTTATTTACCTGTAGAAAATTCTAGCAAAATAGGGCTAGCTGATAAAGACAGGAAAAATCGACCCATGCAGCAGGAAGATGAGTATCGAATTCAGATGGAATTAACCCGGTATTATCTGAGGAAAGATTCCCTCTCTATGGGCGTGTCTTCAGAGAAAAGCTTCTATGAGACAGAAACGGCTCGCACACCTTCTAGCCGTGGTGAGCAGCTCAAGCAGTTGTCACTAAACCTGCATTGTCCCCCATGTGGAGTTAGACCTGATGCTGGCTTCTGTGGAAAGTTGCTTAGCACTGGAGAGCAGCCGACCAACAGGATGGCATGTGGTTGTTCTGCTGGCCCCCCTGCAGTGCAGTGGTGCACCAGTAGTGGGCGCCAGTGCTATTATCTTTCAGTGTGTAGTTGGTCTTGTAAGCGACGGTATTTATTTTTTCCTAAGGGAAGCCAGTTTGTAAAAATGTAGATTGACACATAAATAGGTTGGAAGTAACTGTCATTTTACGTGCTCATGTGATTGTGTGCAGCAGACAGTCTTAAGTAGGAAGAGTTGCTGGCCTTTTTATCTTGTTGATGTAATTGTATGTGATAGGGATTTTGGACTGTCTGAGCACTAGTGTAAATAGTAAGACTGTTGAGATGTAAAATGTTGAATCAAATAAAAGAATTAAAGCCTACTCAAGAACATTTAGATATAGCAAGCTTGATTTGTGTGGAGGTCAGACAGTCACTAGAGAGAAGGCACTAAACTGTCAGGAGACTCCTAAATGTCTCTGGTCCCTCTTTCCCACATGGGAAATAGCTGTATCCACGAGAAACCAGAGACTTCAGTATAGCTGTGCAATTTTATTATTTGCAGTTTGGTGCTGGAGACAAATCCCAGGGCTCTGTGTGAGCGGATGCTATCTGAAAATCTGAATTTTAACTTCTAAATTGCTATATGACAATAAAATCTTGCTGTATTGCTGCATGTCATATAAACCCACAAACACTCCGGGAAACTTGACCTTTTGCTGACTTGAGTGCAGTTTAGTATTTACTGCACTGCTAAAAGCCATACTTAGACATGTTCCTCCATCAGAAGTGACACACAGGTGTGTCTCAGGTGACTGGAAGGAGGGCTCAGTGTGACTAAGTGATTTGAAATAGCACATTGGTGGATGTATCACAAGTGACGAAGTTTAATTTCCTCCAGAAGAAGAAGTTTTCTTCTCTATGGCCGATATGGACATGTCTCACAGTCTGTCCTCTCTTCCACCCCTTGGGGACCCTCCACACATGGACCTGGAGTTATCGCTGACTAGTACATACACAAACACACCTGCAGGATCCCCGCTAAGTGCTACTGTGGTAAAGTATTACTTCATGTCTTCTCTCCTTCAAAAGGCACGCCTAAGATCCTAGACTTTATTCATGTATTTAAAAACTAATCTTTTGTAGCTTCAGCCAACTTGGGGAGAGTTTGCCGACCACAAAGAACAGCCAGTAAGAGGGCCAGCGTTCCAGTCTGACGTGCTCCACCCGGCACCTTTACAAAAAGCTGGTTAGTTTTCACCAGACGCTATGAAAATTAAAAGGAGAAGAGTATCCCTAAAATAATATATTTTGCTTTATTCTCCTCTCTTCTTTTATAATAAACATCTGATCTATTATCTACTATCTATCTATCTATCTATCTGTCTATGTATCTATGTATCTATGTATCTATCTATGTATCTATCTATGTATCTATGTATCTATCTATCTATCTATCTATCTATCTATCTATCTATCTATCTATCTATGTTTATCATCATCTCTCTGTCTATCAATCATCCATCTACTTAGCTACTTTTATTTCTGTTCTCCTGGGCCTTGCACATGGCAAGTGTACACTCTATACTCTCATATTTTATGTGTGTTTATTTCATAATTTCTTTTTTAGTCCAGGACAGTCACAAAGTATAGAAAGAAAAGAATAGTTGAACAATTCACTGAAAAATATTTTAAAATGGTTACTTATCCATTATATTCTTTTTTTTGTTTGATTTTTGTTGAGGGTCTCATGTTGCTCAGACTGACTAGCTTTGATCTCCCTTGAACTTCTGACCCTTTTGCCTCTACTTCCTGAGTTCTAGGGTACTAGGTGTGCACAGCTCTGCCTGGCTCTCATTTTATTTTTTTTAATAATTTATTTTTATTTTATGTGCATTGGTGTTTTGCCTGCATGTATGTCTGTGTGAGGGTGTCAGATCTTGGAATTACAGACAGTTGTAAACTTCCATGTGGTTGCTGGGAATTGAACTGGGGTCCTCTGGGAGAACAGTCAGTGCTCCTAACTGCTGGGCCATCCCTCCAGCCCTTCATTTTGTTCTTTGTATATTTAAATACATAAATATTATGGGAAAATCTACCCATAAATTGCAATTTAAAACTTTCTGATTTGTGTATGCACGTGTGTGTATGTGTGTATGTATGCCTGTGTGTTGTATGTGTGTTTATGTGGGCCTGTGTGTATATGGTATATGTATTTGTATGTGTGTGATATGTGTTTCTGTGTGTAAGCATATGTGTGCATATGCATGTGTGTTTGTATATATTTATGTATCTGTTCTTATGTGTGAATGTGTGGGTGTGTTTATGTCTGTATGTGCACATGTGCCTGTGTGTGTTTATGTATGTAGATGTGTATTTATGTGTATAATCAAGTGCATATGTAGCATTGGACATAGAACCTGAGGCCTTGACAGCACCCAGCCAGTGCTCCATCATTAAATTATACCCTAGCTTCCTGGGTAGCTTTTTTCATCGTTTTTATATTGTTTGGAAGAAAATTTCGGTTTTGATTCTGCATTTCCCTCCCCAGGATTGGGGATTGAACTCAGTACTTTGTGCACTCTGGGCAACTGCTTCACCAAGGTTCAGCACCATTGATCCTTTTTTAAAATTTAATTGAACTAATTGTCAAGCTTAAAGGAGAGCTTGGTGTGAGGCTTTTGGGTTAAACTTGATTTTTTTTTTTTTTTTTCTAACACAGCTTTATAGTGCAAAAGATGTGTCCACACGTTTCTGCTTACTGAGATGGACTCTTGGGTAGCAGCCTATTTAAGATGTCTACTGTCATGCCAACTGCTGTATCTTAATTTCCTTATAGCTAAGCTAATGTTTGTGATTGTGACTGAGATAGCTTCGTATGTTTCAGCTCTTCCTTCTAGGTCTGTTTCAGTGGATGAATCCAGGCCTGAGTTTATCTGCAGGCTGGCTGTTGGTATCTTCTCAGTCTCTGTTCTTCACATTGATCCTTTGTCTCCAGCGGAAACATCTCTGAATGTCAATCCATTGACCCCCATGGCCATCGCTTTCTTCTCTTGTATAGAAAAGATGGACCCAACACGATTGTCACCAGAAGATTTTAAGTCTTTCCGAGCAGTCTTTGCCGAAGCTTGTTCACATGATCACCTTAGGTGAGCTCTCGTGATTCCTGATGGTACTTTGGAAGGGAGTCAGTGCACGCTTTGCATCTGTTTATTCTCCTCATCAGCTTCCAGTTTGTAACAGTTACTGCAGTGCTGCGGGGATACCTCCGTAGCATCTTTCCTACACACTCTGTAGTGAGAACAGTGCAGATGCAGATCGAGATGGCTTGTAGCTGCCTCCCTGTTCTTGCCAAGTTTGTGTGACTTGTGTGACACATTTTGCCATCGTCCCTGCCATCTCTGTTGAAATTATGGGAATGATTCTTTTTGGCCCTGGCAGTGACGGAGATGATGGTGAGGGTGGGACTGATGAGGGAAAGCTTGGGAAAGGCCCGATGCTAGGCCATGAGGTAGGGAGTAATACCAAGCCTGGACCGAGAGTTGAACGCTTAATTTTCTGCTGATTCTTATAGCCATGAGTCTTCATGGACTGAAGCCTAATTGATGAGCTGACTGAACTGGTGACTATAGGGGTCAGCATGCCTACTGTGCATTTTAATATGAGTGTGATCTAGAATACTAGTGATACTTTGTATAATGTCTATATTTTAGAGAACACCTGTTTTTGGAGATAGGATCTCATGATATAGTCCAGTATGGCCTCACACTTTGAGGAAGCAAGCCTAAGATAACCTTGAGCTCCCAGTGCTCTTGCCTTTACTTTCTGAGATGATAGGTGTGAGCCACGATGCTTGGTTTTAGGCAGCATCGGTGGATTGAACCAGGGCTTCATGCATGCAAGGCTACTGCTCTACCCACTGAATTAACCCTTACCCCCAGCTTGAGGCTTTTTGTTTTTTTTAAGGTATTTTTTTTTTTTCTAGAGTGTTAAAATTAACAAGTGAAGTAGTTTTTGACTCCCATCAGAAGATGTGCTATAAGTTAGGACCATAGTACTTCTAATCTAATTGAAAAGGCATCTCACTCAGTTTGTCATAGTTCCAATATCTGCTAGTAAATGTCAGAAATATGACACAAAAACTGTGAACCCCCATCAGCTGAAGTTTTAAAAAAACTGTAATTTTGGGGGCGGGTATTCTTTTGGTTTTTTGAGATAAGGTTTCTCTGTGTAGCCCTGGCCGTCATAGACTCTCTCTGTAGACCAGCTGGCCTCAAACTCACAGAGATCCTCCTGCCTCTGCCTCCTGAGTGCTGGGATTACAGGCTCGTGCCACCATGCCCTGTTTACTGCATGATACTTGTTTCTTGGCTTTTGAGACAATCTCAGTTGTCAAAAATGCTGGTCTCAAATGCTTATGGTCTTCCTGCCTCATCTTCCTGCATACAGGAATTTCAGGTGTTCACCACCAATGCCAGCTTAAATGGTGTTTTTATATTGTTTTAAGAAACCATACATTTTAAAGTTCTGAAAAAAATTTTTAAAAGTTTTTCATTTTAAGACAGGGTCTTACTATCTAATGTTGGCTGGCCTAGAAACTTGGTATGTACTAGACTAGCCTCAAACTAGTATAGATCCATCTGCCTCTGCCTCCTAAGGGCTGGAATTACAGGGATGCATGTGCCACGATGCTGGGCAATATCTGAGATACTTTATCCACTGCTGTGAACAAAGGAAGAGCGCTGTTGGGCAATACAGGCATCCTGGGAAATTTCCCATAGTAGAGATATTAAGGAATAGGAAATGTGAAGCTCATGTCCTTAGGGATGTTAATGGTCACTAATAGCTTGGACTTGTTAGAGTATATTACTATATTATTATTATCTATAATATTATTATATAGTTATATATAATTATATACTACTAACATTTGCATACTTATGCTATGTTGTTTAAACTAGAAGCATGTGAAGACCCTTAAATGCTTCTTTTTAAATGATAGGTTTATAGGTACTGGCATCAAAGTGTCTTATGAGCAGAGACAAAGATCAGCTTCCCGGCATTTTAGTACCGACATGTCCATTGGGCAATTGGAGTTTTTGGAATGTCTGTTTCCTACGGATTTTCATTCTGTCCCTCCCCATTACACAGAGGTAAATGCTTGATTTTGTTTTGCGTTTTAAGAATTGAATGAACAACAGTTTTCTTTAAATGTACCAGCATCAGAAAGTGTGCATTTTTAAAAAAATCTTTGTGATTCTTAAAACAAATTTTAAAGTATGTCATTTAAGGTTATTCTGTGAAACTAGTGAACATTTTATTTTATTTTATTTTATTTTATTTTATTTTAGATTTATTCATACAATATTCTGCCTACATATACCTGCATACCAGAAGAGGGCACCAGATCTCACTATAGACGGTTCTGAACCACCATGTGGTCACTGGGAGTTGAACTCCAGAACTTTGGTAGAACAGCCAGTGCTCTTAACCTCTGAGCCATCTCTCTGCTAGTGAACATTTTAAATGAAAGGAGAGTTACCTAAGGAGGCAGGCAGGTTATGAACCTGTTATTGTCTTTTGTTTTTAAAGCCTTTAGATGTTTATCTGTTTGAGCCCTTGCCTGCATCCTGCTGATGAAATGCTGAGTCTTACAGCACTTGGTTGCTTGAGTGAGGTTTACATTGCTAGGAGGTGACAAAAAGGAAGTTTGGGGTCTGCCTTTCTGACTTCAGGTAGCTCTCCCCACCTATAAAACTTACTCTGTAGTTTACATGGTTGATTTCAGCTTAACATCCTGGATTTATGTGATTGATTTCAGCTTATTATCTTAGCTGTAACTCATCTCCATCCTTGTCTTTATAAGCTTCTGACGTTCCATTCCAAAGAAGGGACTGATGCCCACCTCCCCGTGTGTCTTCAGCTTCACTATAAGCACTCTGAGACCAGAGGACCCCAGGTGAGAGAGCTCTGTGTGGCCCACCTGCAGATTGTTATTGGTCTTTACTTTGTCACAGTTGTAAGTTTTTAACCTAGTTTTATAGTTTTGTTAATAATTATATTGTGCTTTCTTTCTTTCTTTCTTTTTTTTAAGGGTAATCAAGCAAGACTTAGTTCAGTTCCTCAGAGGGCAGAATTACAAATTAAATTAAATCCGGTATGTTGTGAGCTGGATATCAGTATCGTGGATCGGTTAAATTCCTTGCTTCAACCTCAGAAACTCACTACAGTGGAGATGATGGCCTCGCACATGTATGCTTCATATAATAAGCATATTAGTTTGGTAGGTATGCATATAAGCATAATCAGTTAATATGCTTATTGAGGAAATTTCTGAGAAAAGTCCTAATAGATTAAATAGACTATGTTAGAGCAATATTATTCATGATAGTAAAAAATAGACACTTTAATATTATTTTTGTTGAAAATTTTTTCTTATTTTTATTTTTGGAGACAGGGTTACTCTGTGTAGCCCTGGCTGTTCAGGAACCCACTCTGTAGACCAGGCTGGCCTCAAACTCAGGGACTTGCCTGCCTTTGCCTCCCATAGGCTGGGCTTAAAGGCATGTGCTACCAGTGCTCACTTGGTGATCATGAACTCTTGATCTTTCTGCCTCTACCTTTGTAAAGCTGGGGTCCCAGTGTCACCACTTTTCTCAGTTGTGGCCCTTTTTTGCCTTGAAAATAAGCGAGGTAAGTTTTGGTAATTCTACTGAAAGAGATTTCCTGTTGCGTTTCCCACACGGTGTGCTATGTGGCATCAGCCGTGTGAAGAAGGCTCCTCAGAAAGGCTTAAGTGAGAAGTAGAGTGTCTTTCTGTACAAACTGTTTTGTATCTTCTGAGATAGATTGCATTATTAGCTCAGGTTGGCCAGGAACTTGTGTTTCTTCAGCTTTCCTATCCCTCTGCCTGCCTTCCCTTAGATGTTAAAACTAGACAGAAAGATCACTATGCCTAAGAAGAACGAATAGACACTCCAGTTGGCAGCATTTGACTTACCACAATGGCTTTAGAGCTCTTTTTTGGATTTTGAAAAATATTGTAAGATATTAATGAGATTTTATTTTCATACACTTCATAAATGTGAACAATGTAAAAAGTAAAGCCAGAATAACACAGAAGTGATTTTGAGAATGAGTGATTTGGGTATCACACCGTATTACTTTTGCTTGGATTTGTTACGTGGCATGGACTTGAACCAGTGCACTGGGAGTTCGCTGGTTGGGGGTGCAGCCTGAGATGCAGCTTGAGTGGAAAGGAGTCAGCGCAGCAGCACATGCCTGGGATCACAGCTGCCCTGGGGCTGAAGCAGGAGAGCTGAGGTTTGAGACCTGCTAAGGAAAAGAAGGAAAAGGGCAGAGACATCTTAGTTTGGGCTTGTTGTTTTGCCCTTGGTTCCTGGTGTTGGAAGCAGCATTCCTTATTTTTCATTGTTGCCTGTTGGTAGTTCTTTTAGTTTATAATCCAGTCAATGTATTTGCTGTTAACCTTGGGTGTGTTGGGATGACTATATCGTCCCCTGGATTTCCTTAGTTTGAGAGTGGAGTTTGTGTTAGAAAACCAAACGGGGAAGAGATAGAATAGATTTGTGAGAAATCTTGGTGTCTAACTTCAGAGAAGAAAGGGTACCTGCTAGAAGAGGGAGGGATTGGGGAAAAGAATCATTGGGAACAAAGCATAATGACATTTGTGGGAAGATGCCACAATAAGGCCCATTACCTTTATGCTTGTGTTACATGCAATTAAAAATCCCAGTCTGCCATGAGAAGTGAGCTTTCTGAGAGGCTAGACACTGACTCAGAAGATGAATGTTGAAGGCTGTATTAGTTTCAGTACATTCTATGGAAAATTGAAATTGACTTCTGTTTGAATGGATGTTTTTGACCAATGAGTATGGTAGTCATTTGCAACCTTATTGGATTTGTTAATAGGCTAGTTTCTACCTTTTCTTTCTTTGTAGTTTATGGTAAGATATAGAGGGTTCTATGCTGCCTGTCTTTAGTTTTACTTATTTTAAAATGAGGATTCAGCTGTTGCCAGCAGATCTGAATGAGCGATAGCTGTTATATTTGAAGCATCATTATGTTAATACAGTAGTGTTTCTTTAAGTTGTTTCTTTGGATGCTGTGGCACATAGGGAAGTGGTGATAGTGTTTGCTGGAATGCTGAGCACTGTCGTTTCTGTCTGTTTCAGCACAAGGCTTTCACTGAAGTATTTCTAGATGACTCGCACAGCCCTGCAAATCGCCGGGTGTCTGTACAAGTTGCCACCCCAGCCCTGCATCTTTCTGTTCGCTTCCCCATTCCTGATCTTCGATCAGACCAGGAAAGAGGACCCTGGTTTAAGAAGTCGCTTCAGAAGGAGACCCTCCATTTAGAATTCACAGATCTGGAATCTAAGACGGAGTTTGTGGGAGGATCCACCCCAGAACAAACCAAACTGGAACTGACTTTTAGAGAGCTGACTGGTAAGACTGAGCATGCTGTGGAAGAGCAGACTACACGTCGAACCCTGCTTCTGTGACGGTGCCAAAGAGGGCAATCGTGGGGACGCTATTAAAGAACACAGCCACAGCTTTTCTCCAGAACTGTGTGGAGAGTTAGCATAGTTTTAAAAAAAAGGTGCAACACAATGATTAATTTGCTCTGGTGAAGTTCTTATTTTCCGTAGTGGTAGAGTGCATTAGCCTTTTTTTATTATCCCCTACCACTTACATGTGCTAATAGGGACTGGATAGCCTGCCTGCCACTCTCTGCCCAGTCCTGGACTGAGCAGATCACATACGTGCTGTCATTTCCTTTAGTTGTCATTACCACATATGTAGGTTTCCCAGTCTGTGGCTGAAGAGGATATGTCTCCGCAGCTCACAGGTGGTATGGGCAAATCTGTCACCAGAGCCTGAGTTTTCAGTCACCACACTAGCTCCTTCTGGGACATCTTTGTAAACCTGACACAGATCTTCTGCATTCTTGTGTCTCTGCAGGGTAGTGAGTAGAGTGTGTAAAAACTCTGCTTCTTTCTCTGCTTCAGCTCCTGACCTTGGCCACCAGCTCCCCTCATACCCCTAGTCTACCAAAGTTTTCCTTGTCTGATCTCTGAGTTTGACAAGTTTTTAAGTCACCAGGCTTTTGCTGGTGACTAACTGCTTAATGAGAGTATGATTATGTTCCCTCTGCCATTCAGTATCTCAACTGGCTGCAGCTCTCTGTTTCAGAGGAAAGCTATGCAGGGCAGTGAGAAGCTAGTGCGGTATTAGTCTGCACATGTGAACTACACACTGAAGTGAACTTGTATCTTTATGTTTTTAGTGGCCAATTAGCTGCATAAGCTTTTCTTTCTTTCTTTTGCTGCTGCTGTGCTGGGGACTGAATTCAGGGTCTTAATATGCTAGGTAGTTGCTCTACCTCTGGGCTATAGCTCCAAGCTATAAACTTTTCTTCTGTAGAGAAATAACTCTGGCTGGAGAGGTGGTTCAGTGGTTAAGAGGACTTGGGGTAAAACCACGAAGACCCAAGTTCAGATCCCAATACCCATGTAATAAGTTGAGTGTGGGCTCAAATGAGTCCAAAACCCTAGTGCTTGCAGGTGGATCTTGCTGGCTGCCAACTTAGCAAAAAAAAGTGCAAATTTCTACCTCAGAGAAATAAGATGGTGAGTGATGAAGAGGTTACCTGATGCCCTCCAAAACAGTTACCAGTACACCGTAGGTAGTGACTGACATATTTACTGCTTATAATTATGTATTGTACATATGAAATACTAGTTAAGAATTTTAGTTCGAATAAAATCTGGCATATTTCTCTGCACATCCTGCCTAGCACAGGCCACATTAAAGCAGTAACGAATGAGTGCTGCAGAGCATGAGGCTATGTAGACAATGCACTGGTTTGGAGAATTCTGAACAATCTGGTCTTCAGCATTTGAGAAGGAGCACATTGCAGTAAAGCCATCCTGTTCCATAGGGTCATTCCAGGAGGAGAAGGGAGAGCCGTCTATCAAGTTCTTCCATGTGTCTGGTGGAGTAGATGGAGACACAGCATCCTCAGATGACTTTGACTGGCCTCGGTAAGCAAATGCAGGCCTGTAACAGAACTGTCAAAAGTCGAACTTTCTTTAGCCAGGAATACGCTGCTAATGTCCACTTATTTACTTACTGGAGTTTTATGCTGTGAAGTCTACCTGTCTGTAAGTGGGTTTCAGTAGGCGTGGGCTTTTTATAGTTCTGTCTAGTCAAATTAACATTTAATCAGTGTTCCTTGTGTAAATTTCAAATTTCCATAAAAGTAAACATGTTACCGGTTATATTTATATCTTGGTTTTTCAAATTATCTTTGTGATCAGAATGGTACTGAAGATAAATCCACCAGCCATGCATTCCATTTTGGAGAGAATAGCAGCTGAAGAGGAGGAAGAGAATGATGGCCACTATCAAGAGGAGGAGGAAGGAGGGGCTCATTCCTTGAAAGATGTCTGTGACCTGAGGCGGCCAGCCCCATCTCCCTTTTCCTCTCGGAGAGTAATGTTTGAGAATGAGCAGGTAAAAGAGGACATGATGAACAGTGTAGGGTGGTACTATCCTGGGGCTGAGAGATGCTTTTCCTCTTCCTCTCCTGGCCTTTCCCTCCTTTCCTCTTTGTGTTTCAGGTTAGTTTTGAACTTGTGATACTCTTACCTCCGAGTTGTGAGATTACAGGCTTATGCCATTACGCTTGGAAAGAATACTGTAATCCTAACACTTAGGTGGTGGAAGCAGGAGGATTGCAAGTTTGAGGCCAGATTGGGAAACATTGCAGGATGCTCTAACATCACTAGCAGTAACATCACTAGCAAGATCTTCCAAACAGCAGTGATAACAACAAAAATAATCTGTTCATTTTTGTTCTAGTTTGTAACTCCCAAGATTGATATCTACTTGTCTTGCTGTGTATTCTCCAAGTTATGCTTATTTATTTTCTTACATATTAAAAAAAATGCTGCTACTATTTAAACATAAGTTGCATCTTTGATGCTATTTCTCACACAAAACTATTTTGTTTTAGATGGTGATGCCGGGAGACCCTGTGGAGATGACAGAATTTCAGGATAAAGCCATCAGCAACTCTCACTATGTGCTGGAGCTTCTGCTCCCAAACATCCACATGACACTGCCCAACAAAAGCTTCTACGAGAAGCTTTACAACAGGTGAGCTTGCACTGCCCACTGCCTCCAAGCACTGTTGCGTCCACTCTCCTGCTTTGCTACTATTTACATGCTGTTGATGTTGCCCAAGGAGCCGCTGCCCATGTGCCCTGCTGTTGTAGCTGAGTGTCCCGGCCTGTGCCTGGTGTCTGTTGTAAAAACAACAGTAACACCGCCACATTTTGTAAGCAAAAATTATAATTTATTGTTTTTAAATGTTCCAACACATCTACCTAGGAAATACAATGCAGTGGGATTCTGAGTCATAGACTCTGGTGACTATGAATACTTGTCGAAGCCTCTGTCACCAAAGTTCACACATCTGCCAAATTGCGATGGTACCAGGGCTCACCCAGCTGAGCCGTTTGGATGATTAAATTGCAGAACAGTGTCTGGCCTACAGTGCAAACAAGTTCTCATTCCCCTTGTCTTCAGAGACTATCACTTTTGCAGTGGGTTTTCTTGGTATCAGGTAGCCCAGGTAGCCCTTGAGTCTCTGGGTTCCCCCCCACACACACCTTGGGCTTGTTTGTAAGTCTTAGGTAGGGTACTGAGGTACACTTCAGTTTAGTAATCTGGACAAAATTCCACATACCAAACCATTAGAATATAGGAAGAAAATACAGCACTTTAAAAAAGATTTTATTTTTGTTTTTTGTCTTTAAACATTTTATTTATTTAATTTATTGTGTGTGTGTGTGTGTGTGCTGTATATGTGTGTGTAGGAAGATAGCTCTGGGAGTTGGTTCTCCTCCTACCACATGGGCAGGCTTGGTGTCAAGTATGTTTACCTGCTGAGCCATCTCGCCAGCCCTATTTATTTTGTGTTAAACAACAGCAAACTTCTCTTAAACTGAGTAAGATGGCATACTCCAGTCATCCCAGCTTTAGGAAGGCTGAGGCATGGAGATCATGATTTCAAAACCAGGGCTTCTTAGTAAGATCCTGTTTCAAAGTAAAAATAACCAGACTGTTTAGACTGTTTAGCATAGTGACATATGTGAAACTCACAGGCCGTATACCATGAATTTTGGTTTTATTTAAGCATTAGCAGTCAAACTGCTGCAGGAGGTGGCAAAGGAAGAACCCTTCCTAAGGAGAGCTTCCCTTTGCCTTCACTTGACAGTAACAATGCCTCAGGCCAGAGTCTCAATTTATAGGCCTGGGCTTCTTTGTTTTATAATAAACCATAATGTTTGTGGTGTAGACAGTGTAATGTGTAGACACTTAGATGGTGTGGTATGTCTGAGGTCCGCCATCTTTCAGTGCGGTGTCCCCCGGTGTCTTTCACAGCACCACTTCCCGCTGGCATCAAGGCACTTAGAGTGGCCTTGCTCCTCTAGAGCTGGCTGGGTGCTGGCTTCTGCCGGGGTGGGGCTCAGGGTGGGGTATACCAGCTGCTTCTTTTCCTGGCACCTCCATTGGTATTCACACTTGGCTTTACAGTCCTTCCATGTGGCACCACTTGGTCTTTTCCTTGCCAGTCATGTACTGTGTGACAGCTGCTGTGCACAGACCGAGATAATTAGGCTTAAGTCCATCTCAGGGCCATGGTGTGACAGCCTAGGAGGTGGCAAGGAGGAGTCACAGGGTGTGATGGAAACAGATGAGGTGAAGGAGGTGTGGCACAAACCTAGAGAACATTGTGAAATTGCAGTTGTCTTAAAGCTGTGCAGAGGACATGTTTATAGTATTTATTGAAGAGGCAGTATGCAGCCCAGGCCTAGCTATGGCCTTTCTAGTGTGTTTTTTAGTAGGTAGATGTCTCTCTTAACTTCCTGTGGCCTGCATTCATCCTTTCCCTTCTTCCTAGTAGAGATTAGCTATCTGTTGGAAAAAAGCTATCTCAGCTACTCTAGACAAAGGGTTGAATTGGGAGCTGGGTTTAACCATGAATATTGGCGTGTGACCTTGGGGAGATCACTTATGTTTTTTTTTTTTTTTTAAGATTTATTTATTCTGTTCTGTGTTCTGCCTGCATGTATGCCTGCATTCCAAAAGAAGGCACCAGATCTCATTATAGATGGTTGTGAGCCACCATGAGATTGCTAGGAATTAAACTCAGGACCCTTGAAAGTGCTCTTAACCTCTGAGCCATCTCTCTAGCCCCCACTTATGCTTTAAGTGGTGGTTTCTTCATGGATAAAGTGGAATGTGATTCTTCTGTCTGTCCCTTGTGGCTGGTGGGAAGGACTGCTGAGAGGGTCCCTTTTGCAGTTTGTCAACAACAACAACAACAACAACAACAACAACAAAAAGAGCTGTCTTCTTTCTGTCATTTGGGAGTTTGGCTTTCTTTTTAGACAGGGTCTCAACTATGCAGCCCTTGATGGTTTAGAACTTGCTGTGTAGACCAGGCTGGCCTGAGACTGCTTCTGCCTCTCAGGATTAAAGGCATGTATCTCTACCCCTGGCTGTTTGTGAGTTTTAATCTTTGGTTAGCTTCCATCTCTAAGGTACACTTAGAGGTGTGATTAGGTCTTGGAGTGTATTAACATGGGTGACACTAGTCAAGTGTCTCATTAGGTGTCCAGTCTCAGATTCCTTTTTCTGCTCTTGCTCTGTAACCATGTCAGCTGCTTTACCATTGAAAGCACATAGCTGCTGTTCTAAACTCCTTCACAGGGTCATTTTCCGTTTTGCTGTCTGAAGCCATACCGCAAACATGGTCCTATAAAGTGGGTTCTCAGTCTGGTTTCACCTTAAGTTTCCTGTCCATTTTGCCCTTTGTGTTCTAGGATCTTTAATGACCTGCTTCTCTGGGAGCCAACAGCCCCTTCACCAGTGGAGACCCTTGAAAACATTTCCTATGGCATTGGGCTCTCGGTGGCCAGTCAGCTGATAAACACCTTCAGCAAAGACAGCTTCAGTCCCTTTAAATCTGCAGTTCACTATGGTAATGTGGCTTATGTTTGTTCAGTATAAGCACCTAATTTATATATAAGAGTAGTAGCCCTTTTAATTGTTGACTTAAAAATGTGTCTCAGACTTTGTCTTCTGTTTTATTCTATAAATTCTTTAGAGCTTTCTATGAATATTTCCCATTTCTCTGTCTATTCTGATAAGAGCTTTGCTGCTCAAATGTGTAATCTTTGGTGTGATTGTGCACATGTTTGAATTCCTTCAAGGGGGCCCATCTGCCTCGTCGTTCTGTCCTCTGCAAAAATGCAAAGAACTGTTGTGATCATTTGTAAGCTGCTGTCTTGCTTAGCTGCCAGAATCTGTAATAGTAGGTCTTTTCCCTGCGTAGATGAAGACAGCGGATCTGAAGAAGAGACTTTGCAGTATTTTTCTGCTGTTGATCCCAACTATCGTTCCCGTAGGAAAAAAAAGTTGGACTCTCAGAACAAGAACTCTCAGAGTTCCCTCTCAGTCCTTCTGAGTATCAATCATGGATTAATGGCAGTGTTCACAGATGTGAAGGTAAGGTTTTGTAATCTCTGTAATGAAGTGCGCTGAGGTCCTGTTAGTTCAGGGGATGCTTGCAGGTGTGTGTGTAGAGGGGAGCAGTGTTCTGAGATGCCAGGCAACACAGCTACTTTGGGAGCTAGCTTTCATGCTGATCTAAGGCTGTAAGGCCCCCGCTTTAGAAAGCACATGCTAATTCTGCCAGTGATGGCAGTAATTGTAAATTTTTCCTTTCTCATTTTAAAAGATGGTGAAGCACAAGTGTCTGTTGCAGAAGACTTATGTATGTGGGGCACACATTAGTCAGTGTTTTGAATAATTATTTAGGGTATTGAATGGCTCAAGAATTTGTGTGCTTTTTGTGGTGTAGGAGATTTTCCTGAGTTAGATTCAGAATGAGCATGCAAAGAGACGTTCTTGCTTTCTGCTTTTAAATAATGGCTCCTGGAGCTCAGTGACTAAAAGCCTACCTACTGTGTACAAAGTTCTAGGTTCTGTCTATAGCGCTGAAATCTGACCAAAAAAAAAGTGACTTTTTTCTGATTGTTTTGTTAGCAAGATAATGGAGATCTGATGGAAAATAAGCATGGTGAATTCTGGTTAGAGTTCACTAGTGGCTCATTATTCTGTGTGACAAAGTATGAAGGTTTGGATGACAAGCACTACATCTGCTTGCACTCCAGCAGTCTCAGTCTGTACCACAAAGGTAGGACGCTGTGCATTTTCTTCTCTTCTGTTTAGCAGTTGAATCTCCTATTTGATAAAGACAGTCTGTTGAGAATACAACTTTGATGTGATAAATTATTTTCTTTTGGGAGTTCTGGTTCTATTGCCAAAATCATATTTATAGATTAGAACCTTTTGTTTGTTTTGAGACAAGCTCTCACTATATAGGCTGCACTGGTCCTGAAGTTGAGATTCTCCTGCCTCAGCTTCCCAACTTCTAGGATTATAGGTATGCACAACCACACCTGAGTAAAATTGACCAAATTTTTACTAACTTTGTGGATTACTCTGAATAGGAACAGAGACAGGAAAATCTTATTTTTCTAGCATTTTAGAATCGTAGAATTTTTGTTTGTTTGTTTTATTTTTTTGGTAAGTTTTGCTCTCAGTTATACAAACATTGACAAAGAGAAGAGTGTTATTGCTGCTGTGTTGGCTTTTGGCCATTATGCCACCAGAACCATGTTAAGTTCTATGGGGGTCTCTGCAAACACAGTGACCACAATATTAGCGTGAGGTGAGAAGAAAGTCTGGTTCAACATGACTTTGTAGCCGGTAATGGCTCAAACTTAAGAGTCTGACACTGTGCGGTTTATTTTAGGCATACTTAAGTACAGTGCAATTAGGAAAAATGTCTCCTGGTGTAACACAATCCCGTGTGGTCAATGAGGCATGATTATGTTGAGACTCTTCTCAAAGTACAAGCCACTTCTTCCATGAAGATGGGTTCTATAGATAGACTACATGTGTCATCTTAAAGGGGCAGGATCTGGTATGGTCTCAGTAGTACAGCAGGTCAGAGGTCACCCACCTCCAGTTCTGTTTTTAAGAGTCTGGGGAGTGAGGTATGGCCTGGCCCTACAGGTAACATAGGGGTCACCAGTCTATTAACTGCCTCCATTTCCAGCCTCCTGGGCGGAAAAGAAGGTATATATCTCTTCCTTTAAAGAGACAATCCTGTGTGTTTAACATTCCTGGTTTTTTGAGTGTAGTTATCTGTGAGCAAAGTTCAAAGGAGTAAAGGCTTGTCCTGGAAATCCTGGTAGAAATGTAATATATCTGAGAAGTCTCAAGGATGGTGTCCTGCCACAATGGACATTCTGTACCCAACCTCTTGAGATGGGGCACCGGCAAAGCACAGCCTGCACGAGCACACTGCATGAATGACCTTGAACCTGTTATCTAAGGAGCATACAATACAAAATGCATTGTGTTCAGAGCCTTGCTCATCTCCAATATCATTTAATTTATGTGAACATTCCCCACAAAATTCCAGATACTCCTGATTCTGAGTTAGAGAGTTCTGTTGTGAGAGTCAAAACAGTCACAGAACTAATTTCAAGTGATCATTTTGTTGGTGTTTTTATCTGGATGTGTATCTAGGCATAGTGGATGGAGTCATTCTCCCTACACAGACACGATTGCCCTGTTCCACTCGCCCACATTGGTTGGAACCTACAATTTATTCCTCTGAAGAGGATGGCCTCAGCCGAGCTGCCTCTGATGGTGTCGGGGGAGACAATCTGAATATGCTCTCAGTCGCAGTAAAAATACTGTCGGATAAGTCAGAGTGCAATACGAAGGTGTGTGGCTTATACTGCTAAACATTCCTATTGATTTGATTGCTAGCCCGGGGTGACTGTGTAAGAGGTACACCTTTGTGTTCTTGGGAGAGCTTGAGTTGGGGATTCTGTGGATTAATGTGGTTCTTTGTGTTCTCTTGTGGTGCAGGAGTTTCTTGTGGCTGTAGGGCTGAAAGGAGCCACTCTACAGCACAGAATGCTGCCTGCTGGACTCAGTTGGCATGAGCAGGTAAGAGCTGTCACCCGTGCCATGCCTTTTAATAGCATTTATGAGTCATGAGTGTTTATCTTGGTGAACTGTGATAAGCACACACTGTGTGCAGCTCTGCCTTCCTTAAGAAGTAGACTCATCACCCAGAAGGCAGGTGACTTTTTCCTCAAGGTGCAGTCCCTATAACTTCTCAGTGACAGCATTGTTGTTCATATGAAGCCAGAAAAGGAAGGTCTGTTGGAATGCCCAGCCTGGAGGAGCAGCCAGCGGTGTATTGAGTGCTGAAAACCAGAAAGAAGCTCTTTAAGGGCCACCATGTCCTCAGGCTAGTAGTACAGCTTTGCTTCAGGTCATTTCACCAGAGTTCCTGTAATTACTATCCAGTTGAATCCTCCAGATCAAACAGAGTTAGGGCTTAAAATAGTCTTTCTTTTTCTCTCTCTCTCTCTCTACCTACCTACCTCCCTACAAAGTGAGTTCAGGACAGCCAAGGCTACACAAAGAAACTCTGTCTTGAAAAAACAAAAAAATTCTTTTCCTAAATTTTTATTTATTTACTAAATATTTAGTGTGTGTGTGTGTGTGTAGTGTGTATGCGCACAGAGGTGTGCTTACATGGGCAAACCACAGTGTATGCAAGTCAGAGGACAGCTTTCCTAAGTTGATTCTCTTCTGGGAATCACACTGAGGACATCAGGCTTGGCCTTTACCTGCTAAGCCATCTTGTTGACCCTGACATGTGTTTTAAATAAAAGATTCTGTGGTTGGATCAAATTGGTTATTTTTCTGTGAGTAAGGATTATAGATAAAAGAAGCTGACTTTGAGTAAGATGCTCACTGTTCTTTATGAAAGCTGGAACCTTGTGCTTTTATCTTTTTCTTTATTAAATGCTTTTAAAATACTCTTGTCAGTAAGTATTTACAAAACGTGTGTCTGCCTGTCTGTTAGGGGTGCAGAGATGTATATACTTTGGCTAGGGAGAGACTCAGCATGTCCTCTCCATTTGCTTAGGAGTAGGAGAGAATGGGTGTGGGGTAGAGGACCTGGCTTTCACACTGAGCAACATATAAAGAGAAAGAAGTTAAAAATGACTCCTATAAAAAACTAGATTCTCCGCCTTCCTACAAGGGGTTAGGTAGGAAACCAGAAGTGCCTCTCCAATTTAGAGCCTTCACATGCAAAGCAGGTGCTCCACCACTGAGCTACATGGCCATTGCTTTCCTCTCTTCCTCCTTCCTCTTTGGTCTTTTCCTTTCCTCTCTGCTTCTCTCCCCTCCCTCCCCGTCCCTACCTCTCCTTCTCTCTTCTCTTTCCTTCCACTCTCCCTTTTTTGTGTTTTGAAAAGGTTCTTGCTGAGTAGCTTTTGGCTGGCTTTGGACTTTGGATCCTTTTGCCTCAGCCTGCCAGGGAGCTGGGGTTACAAGCATTACATCCATACTTCATGGAAATCAGATTTTTTTTTTTTTAGTGTTACTGTCACATTTTATTTTGTGTTTTTCAATAAGAAATAGACAATGATTTTTATTACATTCTGCGAAGAAAGTATAACCTTCTGTCAAATATGCTGAGAGGTGATATTGTAGCAAACTGAAAGACTGGATAAGTGCTGACACAGAATTAATCATGAACCAAAAAAAATATACATATATCTTCCAGAAATTGATGTCTAAAATTCTGTAACTGGGGCTGGGATACAGCTCAGTTGATAATATGCTTGCACATCAAATACAAAGCCTTGAGTTAGATGCCAGTCCACATAAACCCAGCACATACTCAGGACATAGAGTTAAGGAAGCCGAGGATGACCTTGAACTTGTGATCCCCTTAACTCTACCTCCTGAGGAAACCAGGTTTTTGAAAATTTACAAAATTAGTTCTTTTCAAGAATTGTTCTGAGCAATATGTCAGTATTATTGTGCATACTTAAAATTAACTTTATAAGATAGGACTTTTTCCCATACAGGTACTAAGTACCAACCAGTCCAGCCCTGCTTAGCTTCCAAGATCAGAGGAGGCTAGTGTGTTTAGGGTGGCGTAACCATAGACATAAGACAGGTTTTTGGTTTTTTTTTTTCTTTTGTCTTTGTTTTCCTTAGGTAAATTTATTTATTTAATCATTTTACATCCCAATCAAAGCACCTTCCCGCCTCTCCTTCTTGTCCTCCCCCTATCCCTGTACCAACCCACCCTAGCACATCAAGTCACATCAGGACTAAGTGTATCCTCTTCCACTAAGGCTACAGCCCAGCTAGGGGAGAGTGATCCAAAAGAGCACTCCCACTCTGCTTCCTAGGGGACCCCCCTGAAGAGCAAGCTTCACATCAAGACAGGGTTTTCTAAGGTGTCTGTGGCATTTAGCTATTGGCTAAATTAAATTAAATTAAATTAAATTCCAGCTTAGCAATTACTTTAGCATTTTAATTGTGTTGCTTAAAGTGAGATGATTACTGTAGGTGAGCCTCTCCCCTGTAGTGCATCTCTCCCCTTCTACAGCATCCCTAATGTGAGTGCACACATTGTTGAAATTCATCCTTTCAGAACAGTGGTGTTTTCTTGTAGTATCCTAGTCACTGTATTATATACTTGTTAAATGTATTCTAGCAAAATGTCATTTCTGCTAAAGTGGCTATTTGTGGTTTTGTGATTATAGATTTTAAACTTCTTGAATATTGCTGATGAACCTGTTTTGGGATATAACCCTCCAACTTCATTTACAACTTTTCATGTTCATCTTTGGAGCTGTGCACTTGATTACAGGTGAGTCTATGAGTGGAGCAAAGTAGAGTTTTACTTAAAACATACTGATTTTAGAGCCACCAAGCCTGATAAACTGAGTTTGACCCCTGGGACCCACGTCACAAAAGGAGAGCCATCTCTCCCAGGTTGTCCTCTGGCTTCTATACATTCACTACACGCACACACACACACACAATACATATATATGTAAAGTGTAATAAAAATTTAAATATATTAATTTTTGAAAAGTGCATAATTCTGCCTACTGTGGTATCACACACCTGCAACCCAACACTTAGTAGGGTCAGGTAAGACGACTGCAAATTTGAAGCCAGTCTGGGTTACACAGTGAGGTCCTGTCACCAATACAACCCAACAAAGGAAGACCCTCCAAAATCCCGTAATTGAGTAGTTAAGGTCGGGGTGTGTTTTCAAGAGTCCTGTTGCTTCAGGCTCCTAATCTGTTTCTTCTTTTTGCTGCCAGGCCTCTTCACCTGCCAATTCGATCCCTTCTTACTGTTGAGACGTTCAGCATTTCTAGCAGCGTTGCCTTGGATAAATCTTCCTCCACTCTCAGGTACCCATGAACTCACCCTGCACCGGCTGCTGTTGGAGTCACTGAGTTTCTTCGCTCTTTGTCACCCAAGCTGCTGCCTTCTCAGAAGCTTTTCTTAAGTCAGCAGCGCTGAGCCACTGTTGTCCTTCCTCAGGGGCTGAGTCCCTCTGCTCCGCTGGGTTTCAGCTTTAGAGAAGGAATTCATCCCTGAGATTCTCAACTGGCTTTTTAGGACCTGTGAGCAGTTTCCCAGTGCCACAAGTGGGTTATCTTTGAAATGGAAACCTTTTCAATTGGGCATCAGCTGAAACAAACAACCTGTTCAAAGCCTAGATGATGACACATTGGCACCTTCATATGTTTTGGGTCACACTCATATTTGTGGGTGATGAACACTGAGCACGGTGTGGCGATGTGCTGATGGTGCAATGTGCATACTGAGAGCTTAGTTTTTAGATGTTTCATCTCTTTCCAGAATCATCATGGATGAGGCTGCTTTACACCTTTCTGACAAGTGTAACACTGTCACTATAAATCTGAATAGAGGTGAGTACAGAACAAACTTTGACGTTGATTACTGCTGCTTAGCTGTGTGGGAATATATTAAAGCTGTTTTAGTGTGATGTACTGTTGGAAAGCTGGGCTCCTATTAGGGACTTTTAACAGATGTTGAAATGTGTAATGATTGTGACATCTTCAGAGTTTTCAGGTTGAAGCTGAAATGTTCTTATGGTGTTAATTATGTTTCTCTGCATTCTAAATATTTAGTATTTAGTCATTTGTTCTAGCTAAAATCAAGTAAGATGTCAGATGAGGTCACAGTGAGTTTGTAGGACAGGCCTCTTACACTACAAATCCTAGTACATGTGCAGTGAACTTTAGACAAAGGTTAGTTTTGTTAGGTTTTGTTTGGATAAGTCGTTTTTAAAAACAGTACAATACATATTGTGTTAAATTTTAGATTATGTTCGTGTGATGGACATGGGACTTTTAGAGCTGACCATAACTGCAGTGAAGGCAGATTCTGATGGAGAACAGGTCAGTTGTAATAAGTGGGAATTTTAGTTAAGTCCTATTATTTTTTCCAGAGATCTGCCTACCTCTGCCTCCTGAGTGCTGGGATTAAAGGCATGCGCCACCATTTCTGTTTTTTTTTTTTTTTTCGAGACAGGTTTCTCTGTGTAGCCTTGGCTCTCCTCCCTTTGTAGACCAGGGCGGCCTGGAACCCACAGAGATCTGTCTGCCTCTGCCTCTCTGAGTGCTGGGATTACAGGTGTGCACTGCCAAGCCCAGCTTAAGTCCTATTCTTAAGAGATAAAATGTAATGTGTTGGAACATTCCCCACCCCCCAATTTTGGTCAAAAACTAGAATTGATTTAAGTACTTTTCATATGACAAGATAAATGAGTATATACTTTATTTTAGATTTACTTATTTTATGTGTATGGATGTTTTACTGGCATGTATGTATGAGCACCACATGCATGCCTGGTGTCTGCAAATGTCAGAAGAGGATGTCAGACCCCTGGAACTGGAGTTACAGACAGTTGTGAGCCATCAACTGCATGCTGGGAATAGTCGATAGTCCTATGCAGGAACAACAAGTACTCATAGCCTCTGGCCTGTATTTCCAACCCATGAGTGTGTATTTTAGTTCCTGTGACTCTGTAGGGGACTTGGTGACTCTTGTCTAAAAAAAAGTTTACCATTTTCTCTCTGTGCCCTGTCCAGACTGAGCCCCGCTTTGAGTTGCACTGTTCCAGTGATGTCGTCCACATCAGAACATGCTCAGACTCATGTGCTGCGCTGATGAATCTCATCCAGTATATCGCAAGTTACGGAGACTTACATGCACCTAACAAAGCAGAAATGAAGCCTGGAATTCCACAGAGAAAGCCCAAGGTACAGGCAAGGCGCCCCATCCCACTGACAGCACTGAGCAGGAGTAATGGGTCTGGAAAGGTGATTCCAGGCCCTCTATGAAAAGCCATTCTACTGTTTGCTCTTCATTTTAGAACATTAATCTCAGCTAACATGATACTTTTTGAGATTTCAGTTATTTTCATCTGTTCTTGGAGAAGAAAACAAGTTGTCAAAATGCTGCAAGCAGCAGATGGTAGATGTTGCTTCCACCGCAAGACTTGCTTCTACTCTAGTATCTTCATCTTTTTGCTCTAATACCTTGTTCCATGTCTTCCTATGGAGCTGTCCCTCCATGTGTTACAGCCCAGTGAGGGGAAAAGAGGCTCAAGGTGATCATTTATGATTACATCTGGATCGCCTGGGTGATTTCCCTAGTTAGCAAGAGAAACAGAACAGGTGTCCCCATCTCAGTTCCAAGGTCACTACTCTTTCTTATGCTCCATTTGTCCCCTTTCTGATGGCATGTGTCCAACTTGAATGATGTCCCATTTGTTTTGGTGTTTTTATTTTGTAGTGCTGTTGTTCACGGCCTTTTCTATGAACAGAATCCTCAGTCTCCTTAGGGTAGGGCACCTCTGAACTTACTCAGGTTAGAGTTCTGTTAGCAAGGGTCTGACTGGCACTGTGTGCCTTTTAGGTCATCCTAGTCTTCTTTTCTGTTCCTCCTGTGTTCCCACTGGTAGTGAGGTGACTGAAGATGTTCCCTCTACATTTACTCTCTGTTCTTAAAGACACTGTCCAGTTTCTCAAAGATGCTTTCAACTTATGTCTTTCCATTTCAGAGCCGTGTTCACATTTTGAGGAGTATGGCTTGGGTTTAATGGATCCTCAGTTTACAGACCCAGTGGTGAAGTAGTGGTGCTGGAGTTGAGCCCTGTGAACCACCATTCAGATTTTTTTCTCCTGTTTATATCCCCACTTGCCTCAGGAGCCCCTGAACTAAAGCGGCAGCAGTAAGATTTGAGCAGATCACACTTTCTCAGTAAGCCCCTGGTTGTGCCACAGGGTTTTCACACACACACACACACACACACACACACACACACACACACACACAC